TTCCAGGATGCACCTCCGCAATCCTTTCACGTTTCCAAGTACTACGATTTGACTTTCCTTCTTCCATTTCGGTGACAATATCACCTGGAGCAACTGATTGTGCGACGCTAGCACCTTCGTTAGCAAGCCTGTGGTGCTCCCTTAGATCCACCAAGTACTCACGTTTCCAACGGTTCCAAAATTGACCGAGCAATTCAGACAAATAACGCCGCCTTCTGGTGAGGAGCTGGACATCCATTTCATCTTCTTAATCAGTTGCATATTCGTCAGAGATGGACAGAAGTATCCTTCCTGTCAAAAGATGAGAAGGCGTAAGGGGTTCCTCCGTACGTCTGAGGATACATATTTGAGTGCTCTCGAGTTCAGTACGCATTCCACTGCAGACAAAAGCTCGTCATACTTCAACTTCGCGCTCTTCAAAGTTTTCTTGAATTTTCTTAATTCCCATTCTGTTTGATCCGCGACCCTTGAAATTTTCAAGCGCATATCCGGTGGTAATGTTCCCATGAAAAGGGGAATCAAAAGCTTCCCAAACAATGCAGATTTTATTCCTAGGGCTTGTAAAGCCCGAACGTGTGCTTTGACTGGATCATAAAGAAGGCTTAGACGTCTCAGAAATTGTTACTCTTACAGCTGATACTTTCACTAATCCCTCCATGTGAGCATTAATGATTACCTGGGGTTGTACAAATCATTTCTTTAAAATGGATTTGGCTGACTCGTAATTTTCTGCTGTAAGGGGTAGCCCTCGAACGCCTCCTGCGGCTGGCCCTTCTAACATATTTTTCAAATAATTGAATTTATCACCATCTGATAAACCAGGGTTGTCATCGACAGCACTTGCAAATGATTCCCAGAATGAATTGAAGGAAATAGGATCACCACAGAACTTCTTAAGATAAATCTTCGACAGTTTTGCCTTTCTGATTCCAAGACTTTCAGTAAGCTAATTAGACTGAGAGAGAGGAATTGACTTATCTGTATTTCCTGCCTTTTCCAGTTCAACTGCGTTGAAAGTTTCGTCAATTTCCATCATATTTGATGAATAGATTCTCTGAAGCTTCCATTTTCCTTGATTTCATCCTCGATTTGCTTTTCTGTCA